GGAGGGCGGCGTAGACTGATTTTCTTCTGCTAGTTCAGAATAAAATGTAAAATGTAAAGAAGGGAAAGAAAGGGTGGTGGCCTGGGTTTGGCTTGTATGATGGGCTCAGTGTTGGTTTGACTGACAATAATTTTTTGTACCATCCTTGATAAGATATATGCTAGATAAAATTTGGTGTTTCATATTTGTTCTATGATCTTGATTTGATATTTTAATTGTGATTTATCTTTTCCTTTTCACAAACTCAATGAGTAGTTTAAGGTTTTTAATGTAGATTTATTTTTTAACATGCAATTTATTTTGATGCAACAAAAAGTATTTTACAAGACACTATGATGGGTTCAATGTTGGATTGACTAACAATAATTTTCTGTATTATTTTTGATAATACAAAATTAGTGAAAGTTTGGCGATTCACTTTTGTTCTAAGATTCTAATTTGATAATTCAATTGTGATTTATCTTTTCTTCTTCGATACTCCATATGATTTAGGGTGTTACAGAGCTTAGGATTTTAAATATAGATTTAAAATACAATCTATTTCGATGCAACAAAAGGCAATTTTTGCAGAACACTATTAATTTTAAAAAGGATTATTTATTATCTATGATGAATATTTAAAATAAATTGGGCTGTAGTTCTCATTGGAGAATAAGTGTTTTTTTGCAGAACACTGTATTAATTTTAAAAAGGATTATAAATAGAACACTTCATTAGAATTTCTCATATTGTTAATCTATTCCTTTGTAGATTTTTTTCTTAGAAATATTAAGCCAAGGTGCTGTAGTTCTCATTGGAGACTAAGTGTTTTTTTTTTCAAATTCTAAAGCTAAGCATAAGTGAGATGATTTTCAAATCTTAAAGCTAATGTATTAAACCTCTCCGATTGTGTGGAGAATATGACTTAATTGATCTTTAATATATTTCTTAAGCCTTGATCAAATAAATGTTGGTAACAATATCTTGGTAAATATTGTTTAACTAAATTTTTAAATCCAAGGTAATTTTCAAATGCACTATAATTAATCATCTTGATTCAGTTTTTTAATTGATCATGAAGTTGATCATAATAATTCATTAAATTGCTGAATATTGTACTTGAATCTCTTGTTTAAATGGCATTTGAGGCAAACAAGAAAGCTTCGAGGTTTAAGCCTCACCATCATCAGTGAGGCTTATGCCCTTATCATCTAAGGCGTACATTTTGAGGCTTTATGTTTCAACGCATTTAGGGTAGCGTCTCGATCAAGTTATGCCAAAAAAGTATATTATATTATTTTATAGATAGACATTGTGTTATATTATATTTAATAATTCAAAAAAATATCTCAATGAGGTTAAAAGATAATTTATTGATGATTATTTGATTATGTTGTTAGTTTATTCTTTTATCTTTAAATTATATTGGATTTTTGATTAATTTATAGTAGTTAGAAAATCGTTCTGAGTGAAGAATATTTTAAAATTGTGAATGAGATAGAATTAGATGATAACAAATATAATGATTCTTTTGAAGATGATGAAAGTAAGGATGCGGCCACTATGGAGCTTGAATCTCATGGAATATTTAAATTTTAAGTGAATCCTAGAATCTCATTTCAAATTTTTATTTTATATCAATATTTAACATAAAAAAAATTTTATTTATGTGTTTACGATAATAAAATAAATCAACATATCAATGATTTATGTCATATTTATGAGTTATTTTTATGTTTATGAGTCTTTTTTTTTATTTTTATGCCTCTCCGCATTATACAAAAGGCCTCAATTCTTGATTTTGTCTTTTAAAACATGTCTTGAATCTATGCTTAATATCAACCAAAGTTGATTTTATTTTAGTTAACAATCTAGCCAAAATTTTAAGAAAATTATATTAACTCAAGTTTGGCTTATTTAAAATTTTGGAAATTAGAGAATTTATATTTTAAAGGGATTTTCATTACTTAACAAGTTTTAAAGTACTACAAAATTATGCATTACATTAAAAATTATGAATATTATCCTTAACTCTATTATAGTTTTATTTAAATTGTCTAGAATCATAGCTAAATCAAATTTGTATAAACTCAAATCTTTTTTTGTTGATATATTAATTGGCCTTATATGAAGTTCTATGTTTAGAAGGCACAGTCATGTAACCTTAAGTTCCGATAACAAATTTAATGGAGCATGTTCTAAGGTATATGATTTATATTGTAGTTCTAACGTTAATCTAAATTTAGATGCAACAAAAATTCACATTAGACATGTAATTTTCATAGGCCTTTAAGCTATTAGCCTCAAAACTATTTATTACTCTTGATAAAAATCAAAGTATAATCCAATTCATACAAAATATATATGGCCTTCTACAAGTAATTGCTATAAGAAAGTTAGGCATTACGAAAGCCACAAACACATTTGAAATCTTACGCAAAAGAAAGAAACCAAATTATAATAAAGGTAACAAAATTCGGTTATGCTTTGTCCGATTTCATTTGAGTAACCATTACCTTTGATAGGCTTTACATTTTGACTAGTGCAATAAGCCTTCTTGTAGGGCATTGGGTTGCTTCTTAGCCACTGAAATGAGGAGAATTTCATTGTGGTCAAGCATAATTTTCCTAATCAACACATATAAGACAACATATCTTATGCATGTCTCTCATTCAAGTTCTGTCATATTTGTTTCCTAGATAACCTTCAACATCACCTCATAACACTCGAATTAATGACTAAGGGACTGCCAACTGATTGTAATTTTGTGTCATAGAGAAAATAAGAAAGGAGATGGATCTAACTATGAATATATTGTTATCCTCGATTATCCAAGTCTTTATAGGCCGAGTGTATTTTTATTTCTAGTCTAGTGAAGTGGTCAGTCGGAAGCACATTGGCATAATAAGAGAATATCAAACTTGAAAGCATATGAAGTTTGTACCATAGTAGCATAAGATTAATAAGCTTTTTTTTTCACCAATGACTTATTAGCTATCTAAAGCTGTGAAGTGTAACTTTTACTTGTATGTTTCCAAATGGCAATGCTCTTATCATTTTTTTTTATTTTTCATATATGATTGGAAAATATTCAGTGATTTCCTTGGGGTGAGCTAAACCCTAAACTATTTTCAACTTTTAATCTTCTATTTCAAGTAGTTTTTAAGCTATTGGAGACTTTTTCTTAGTACTTTCTATGATGCTGATATATATCATTTATTACTGATTTATTTTGTGCCAATATGCACTTTTTTTTGGGGGGCTTATGTTTTTATTTTATTTTATTTTTCTGCATATGTTTATATTTTTACAGGTAGTGAGCGCAATATGAATATGCTTACTTTGGATGGTGTTGACGTTATGGGTGAAAGATTAGCTGAAGAGGTTGGTCTGTAATTTGGATGATGAAATGAAATTTACCTATGAAATTGAACTTAGATGAGCATTATTTTGTTACTAGCTCAAAATTTATCTTATAATTTTGGTAGAAAGAAGCAAGATTCTTCTCTTATGTAATTTATTACTGATGAGGATTTTTCAATAGGTTATTGATATCATCAAAAAAAGACGAAGGCTTAAGAAAATTTCTTTTATTGCTCACTCTGTTGGTGGATTGGTTGCAAGATATACAATAGGAAGGCTATACAGACCAGCATCAAAATCCCAAGAGCTTCCTGCAGATGATTTTCAAGGTTTGAATGCTAAAGGAACAATATATGGCTTGAAAGCAATGAATTTCATTACTGTTGCAACACCCCATTTGGGTTCCTGGGGAAATAAACAGGTAGTAGAAATTTTTATTTCCATTTTACATCGTTTTCTTTATTTCTGTTATATTCTTTACTGAAATGGCAAAGAAAATTTTAATGAATGATATGGAAATTCACGCTTGTTTATTAGAAGTTATACTTTGGTACAAATTTTGGCAATAAGATGAGCACCCCATGCTCGTTTGAGCTTTTTGAAATCTAGTACAAAAAGATTTGCATATATTGCGCACTTCTACATTTTGTGAATGCTGTTCTTTTTATGCGGTTCATTATTTTATGAAATCCTATTATGTATATTTCAGTCAACCAAAAATTTTCTAGTCAGAATTCTTGGCTGATCTTTATCTGGCTAAGGGGTCTGCTTTATGAACCAACATTCTTTATTAATCCCTGTTGAGTGCTACATGATATATTAAATATAGTTTATGAGTTCTTTTTAGTGCAACTTTTATCAATGCCGCCTTTGGTCTAACTCTTTTTTTTTATTATTTTCCATTACATAAATTTATGAATGATGTTAGTGATTATCCTCTTTTAAGTTCGATTAGGAGATAGTTTAAAATTTTAATTTTTAAAAGAGATGGGTGAATGATTATAGTGTATACTGAGGAAGAAATGATGCTTATTGAAGGTGACTTAAATTGAGTAGTGAGATGAGCTAAGGGTGAATTCATGTTGGTTTTGGAATTCAATAGAGAAATATAACAGGTGAATTTGTGCTTGATTTCACGCTAGGTTATGATCTTGTAATAGTGAACAAATGCTTTAAGAAAAAAAAGAATGCTACTTAAGAAAGTGGAGTTTCCAACGCACAAATATTTTTCTTATTTTGAAGGAAATGAAAATCTCATCTCGAAGTTTGTAATGTGATTCTATGAGAATTGTATCACACAAAATAGAGTAGCATTTATTGATGTATATGGTATGAGAATAAAAATCAAAATTTAAAAGAAATTATAACCCTATAATGAGGTGATGGAATTTGAAGTGCCTGAAATTATTATCTTCAAATAGGTTGCCAAGGAAGTTATGTTTGAATTACTCAGCTGTTCTATATTGGATGTGAGATGAAATGGCTAGTTCTATTTTGGAGTTTTAGATCGTAAATTGATAAGGAGACTTGGTGGTTAAGCGAGGAGTTACAAAAGGTCATTAAGAAAAGGAAATATATTTTTAAAGGGTGAAAAATATTAGGAAAAATTGCATACATGCCACAGTTATATTCATTTATATATCTAACACCTAATTTTGATATTTACATTTATAACACTTTAGTGTTAAAACCTGTGCATGAAAAGCATGTTTCACTTCTAACAAGTTAGTAATATTGGTATTTTTTATGTATTGTCAAATATTTGAGTGGTATGTATGTAAATATAAAATTTTAGGTGTTAGATATGTAAGTATATAAGAATTGTATGCTATATACATAAATGCTCTAAAGTTTTAATACCAATGGGATTCATAATGATTTCGAAAAGAAACAATGAATAAAGCAAAAGCAAAAAAGTTTAGATCATTATATAATATTGTTGATATTAAGGAGGAAATGATACAGAAAATAAATATACTAGAAGTTGTCAATTATGCCAACAAATTCTTTCATTGTATGGAAATAGGTGATAATATATTTTAAAGCTCAATTAATTATGAAGTGGTCTTATATGTCCAACTGTTGGGATGGAAAATCCAGGAATTGATCAATTAATAATCAAAATCAAACCCGGGAAAACACATTGATTTGAGAGATCCGGAACAAAATTCAAACAAAAGAATATAACAATGAAATCTAGAAGAAGTACACTAAGATTTAATGTGGATAAATCTGAGAACGGAAAAAAACCGCGGAGCCTCACCATACCAAAATTTCACTATGAAAACTAAGAGAAATGCATATCTTACACACTCAATTCAACTCTCTACTCTTGGAATTTACAATAACTTCGGGATTCTCCTCTCAATGACATGAGAGAAATCACTGAAAACCTTCTTTTTGACTCTTGATTGCACCTTCGTTATCGTTGGCAAGAGAGTTCTTCACATAAGAAAATACCGTACCTTGTGTTCTTTCACTTTGAATTGAGGACTTAAGCCCTGTAATTGGAGTCGGACAGCTCTAGCACATCGGGCGTTGTGGTGCTGCTTGTTATGTTTTGGGACACGGGATAGAAGAACTCGCGGCGCACTCGCGCTACTCCCAGGCGTAGGGTTGTCGCCCGCCCTATAAGAGAAGAAAGGTGCAGCAGGCGATTATTCGTATTGGTGAATTTTCCTCTTAGTCCGAATTTTGATTTCAATGCTCCGCACCTTGCCTTTCAAAGTTGGGAATCCCAGGTTTCTTTAGTGACCACTTTGTCATGAGGAGTGCGGCCTAGCATCTTTGGTTCTTGTCCAATTTATGTTGATAAATCATCCCTCCATTGAAAAAATTCGAATCACTTTCTCAACTCAATTTAGAAGTTGAACTTAGGTGATTCAAAATCTCGAGATTGACCGTCAGAAGTTAAGTTCAACCAAAAAGAAGTTCCTTGAAGAAAGATTCTTCTCTCTGTCCCACCAGTCAAAGAAGCTAGGTAAGCAAGCCAATAATATTTGTCTTTGTTTTCACTAGCAACCGGGTCAAGGGTTCCGGACACGGGGGCGCTATCCACAGTTTGTGCTACTACCCCTCAAGACCCAATGCGAGAGCGCCACTCGTGGCCCGGGGGTGAAACTTTGCCCTGGAGCCTGGGTGCCTCTGTCGTGGCTGGCTTTAAATCAGGATCCAACACAACAATCTCCCACTTAGAGGTTGATTTGCACCGATTACCTCTCCTCCAGATTTGCACATCCATTTGTATCATCTTAATAGTTTTGTACTGTAGTGTGGCCCACCTCTCATCTCAATCTTCTTGAACTCCAACTAAACCCAAGTATAGCTTTAGTTTCTCGATAATCACCTCCCTAGTCAACATGCCTATAGGATTTTGTGTTGTATGTATTTGCTTTAAGAATAATTGCCCATCTTCTAGGATACTATGAATAAAATGATGCATTGGTTGCTTTGTTTTGGATGAAAAGTTGATTCTTTGCAAGATTAATACTCATACTGTCAGTATGAAGCTTTTTAATCCTTTGCTCTCCATTTCTATCGTAAAGCTCTACAACCAAACTTTCCTTGCTAGTCTCAGTGATAAGAATGTATTTAGTTTTTATAGTAAAAAGTGCAACAATCTTCTACAGCCTGGAAACCTAACTCATTGTTGTGTTCCACAAATTGAAAATATACCTTGTACTTCTACCATATAAATCTTCTGTCATATTTGAATCTACATATCCCTTTAGACTGATCCTTATACTTCCAAAGTAAAGTATCATGTTGATTGTTCCCCTCGAATACCTGAGAATTTACTTCACCATCTTCCTATGATGCATTCCTAGATTACTCATGAATCTAATGTCCACTCTCACTATATGCGTAATATCTGATCTCATACATATCATAGCAAACATCAGACTTCCAACTACTGAAGCATATAAAGTTCTCACTTTATGTGGTTGCTCTGCTTCAAACTTAGGCGATAGTTCTTTAGCTTGAAGTGACTGCCTAAAAGGTGCTAATTAGTTTTGCCTCACTAGTATTTAAATTTGTAGGATTTTTTCAATATACTCAGCCTGAGATAACTTCAGTATGTCTACACTCTTGTCTCTTGCTGATTCTCTTCCTGAGGATCTTCTTAGTTTGACCTAAATTTTTCATCTCAAATTTTGTTAATAATTGATCATTCAAGTCCTTGATTTTCTTCATATCTCTCTCTGCAATCAGCATATCATCCACATACAAGTGAAACAAGGTATAACAATTATCAAAAAAATTTTTGAAGCGACAGTGGTCTTCCTACTATTTGACATGAACCCGTCAAACCTTCCGTGTCACTATCTCAGGGCTTGCTTCAAGCCACAGAGGCTCTTCATCAACCAGCATACCAAATCTTCTCTCCTTGGAATCTCATAGCCCTGTGGTTTCACCATATACAGTTTCTCTTCCAAATCTCCATATAAAAAGACTATTTTTACATTCATCGATTCCAGATTTAGATCTTCATCCGCTACTAAGCTCAAATACCCAAGATCTACTTCACATTCTAATGATGCATTCCTAGATTACTCGTGTATCTAATGTCCACTCTCACTATATGTGTAATATCTGATCTCATACATATCATAGCATACATCAGAAGCATATGAAGTTCTCCCCTTCTGTGTTTTCTTTGCTTTAGACATAGGCGATAGTTCTTTAACTTGAAGTGACTACCTAAGAGGTGCTAACTAGTTTTGCCTCACTCATATTTAAATCGTTGTAGGATTTTTTCAATATATTCTGCTTGAGATAACTTCAGTGTGTCTGCACTCTTGTCCCTTACTGATTCTTATCCCGAGGATCTTCTTAGTTTAACCAAAATTCTTCATCTCAAATTTTGTTAATAATTGCTCATTCAAGACCTTGATTTTCTCCATGTATCCCTCTGCAATCAACATATCATCCACAAACAAGTGAAACAAGATTTAACAATTATCAAATTTTCTTATGAAGCAACAGTGGTCTTCCTACTATTTGACTGTGTCACTATCTCGGGGCTTGCTTCGAGCCACAGAGGCTTTTCATCAACTTGCATACCAAATCTTCTCTCCTTGGAAACTCATAACTCTACAGTTGCACCATATATAGTTTCTCTTTCAAATCTCCATATAAAAATACTGTTTTTACATTCATCTGCTCCAGTTGTAGATCCTCATCTGCTACTAAGCTCAACACAACTCTAACAATTATTATATTCACTATAGGAGAAAAAATCTCAGTGCAGTCCACACCTTTGTGTTGAAACTCTTTCACAACAATTCTTGTCTTGTAGCATTTATTAGCATCTGACTCATCTTTCAACCTGTAAAATCACTTGCTGTGTAGTTTTCTTTTCCCATTCAGTAATACCGCCAAATCTCATGTTAGATTTAATCTTAGTAATTGCATGTCACCATCCATGGCAAGCTCCCATTCTTTAGAATCTTCAACTTGAGTGTCCTCTTCATAACATTGGTATATATTACTATCTTTTAGCAACAAATAGTATAAAGAAGGATAATAGATGTGTATCGGCTGTGTTATTCTGTTGGACCTCCTGATTTCAGTAGCAGTTGACTGAAGAACTTCACGTGCTTCATCTGATTGAGCATTTTGCTTTCTCTATCCCTTTAATCATCATTATCTTCTATCTCAACATATATAGACTCTTCAAAAGTAATTTATGGGCTTGAGTTCTACTCTTGTCTTTATACAACTTCATTTCATTAAAAGTGACATCCCTCATCCTGATGAAATTCTGATTCTGATAATCCCATAATTTGTACCTAAATTCATCTGAGTCATGCCTAATAAAACTTGATTTAACATATTTCAAACCAATTTTATTGTTGGACCTTACATCAATATGAACATATGCAAAACAACTAAATACTTTTTTTATGAGATAGATTTACCTCATTGTCACTACAGACTTCTTCAGGTAAGTCTTCCTTCTTGATCAGATAAGCAACGATATTCACGGCATCTTTTCAAAAATAATTTGGCAAGCCAACATGCATCCTCATGCTCCTGGCACGCTCTGCGATAGTTCTAATGATGTGCTCAGTTACTCCATTCTGCTGTAGAGTCCTTGGAATAGAGTAACTCATGCATGATCCACTCTGATGCACAGTAACCCATGAATCTCCGATCACGATACTCGCCCACATTATCTGATTTGAAACACTCCAGCCTCAAGTCTGTCTCGTTTTCTATCATGGTCTTTCACTTCTTAAACATCTCAAATACGTTAGATTTTCACTTTAAGAAGTAAACACATACATTTTGGTGTGATCATTAATGAAAGTGACTAAGTAGTGAGAACCTCCAATTAATTGAATTGGAGTAGGTCCCCATACATTAATACACAGTTACTTCAATTTCTTTAACTTCATCATTGACCCACTTTTAGAGAAAGAAACTTTCTCTTGCTTATCATATACGCAATCTTCACAGAAATCTAAATCTACAAATTTCAAACCTCGAAGCTTGCTCTTTGAAAGTGGTGACTTCATATATTTCTTATTCATATGGCCGCCTGCGGTGCCATAGACTTGCATCAACCTTGGTTCCAGCCATATCAATGGATTTTGCCATCTCATTGATCAGATAAAATGTGTCTTCAATGTTGCCTTGAGCCATCACGATTGCTTGTAGTCACCTTACATGAATCATCTGTAAAAACAATCACGTACCCTAACTTTGTCAGCTGGCTTACCGAGATCAATTCTCTCATCAGACTCAGAACATGTCTAACTTCACTAAGCTTCCAAACCATTCCATTTGGCAACTTAACATCAACCTCACACTTTCCTACAATATTATAGGCCTTATTATCTTCCAAGTAAATCTTTCTTAAATCACTCTGAATGGAGCTTTTAAGCACCTCACTATTGGGGCATGCATGAAAAGAGACACATGAATCTACTATTCAAAATTTGATGCTGACTTGGAATAAAATCAGGGAATTACATTTAATTTCGCTTGTGGAGACATTTGTAGAGAGATTCTTGTCTTATCTTCTACCACCAACTTTTTTCGGAGCTTTGTAGTTCTTCCTAAAATATCATTTCATCTCACAGTTCTCGTATTCACCTCTGACATTTCCTCTTCATGACTTAGACTTTTCTTTTCTCAACTTGAATTTGTCTCTGCATGTGTTACTGTCCAAATTTCTTCATTTGTTTTCAACATTTGACACAGAACTTGAAGATTTATCTCTCATTGTCTTCTTGCAAACTTCTTCATCAAACACGAACCAGACAGTATCATCAAGGTTTAATTTCATGTTACTTGAAGAGTTACTCACTGTCTTGACGAATTCATCCCAACTGTCCGACAATGAAGATAAAAATATCAGTACATTGACTTCATCATCAAGCTTGATGCCCATAAAATACAACGGATTAGTCATAATGTTGAAATTGTTCAAGTGTTCAGCCACCGAACTACCTTCCACCATATTCATGTTAAATTATTTCTTCATCAGAAAAATCTTATTTGACGTTGAAGGTTTCTCATACATTCTTCTCAGTGTCATCATGAGATACATCATAGTTTTCTCATTCACTATGTTAAAATCAAAAGATGCGGAAAACTAAAGACAGATCAAACCTAGGGTTATTCGTACCATCACTTCTCATTCTTCCAAAGTCATCCATTCAGGCTTTTTGGTGATTCCTTTTAAGTGATAGATACAGTTTCTTTCGATATAACAAATTTTTTACTTGCATTTTTCAGAATGCAAGGTTTTGATCCATTAAACATCTTCACCTTGTACCTCGTTTCGTCAATCATTACTCCTACTCGAATCAAAGATCTTCAGAAAGGAAAGTTCGCTCTGACACCACTTATTAGGATGGAAAACCCAAGAATTGATCAATTAATTAGTAAAACTGTACCACATAAAATACATCAATTCGAGGGATTTGGAATAAAATTCGAACTGAAACACATAACAATGAAATTCATAAAAAGCATACCAAGATTTAATGTGGAAAAACCCGAGAACGGGAAAAAACTACAGAGCACACTACACCAAAATTTCATATGAAAATCAACGAAATGTACAGTTCTTACACCACTCAGTTCAACTCTCTACTCCTGAAACTGCAACAACTTCAGGACGCTCCTCTCTCAATCACTTCACACAAGAGAAATCATTGAAATCCTTCTTCTCGACACTTCATCACTCAACGCAAAAGCACCATTGAGAGTTCATCCTTCCGAGAGAGTTCTTCACGCAAGAAAATACAATACCATATATTCTATCACTTTGAATTGAAGGCTTAAGTCGCACAACTAGAGATGAACTGCTCTGGTGCGCCTGCACCACTCCTGGATGCGGGGGTGTTACCTGCTTTGTTTTGGGACATGGGACAGAAGAACCCACGGCTCACTCGCACAACTCCCAAGCGTGGGGTTGCTCCCCGCTCGGGATCTAGACACGGGGGTGGCATCCATGGCGCAAAGATGTTGCCCCCCAAGCCCAAGCAAGAGGGCGCCGCTCATGGTGTGGGAGCGCCACTTTGCCCTGTCACCTAGGCGCCCTTGCTACGGTCGGCTTCCAATCAAGTTCCACAACATAACACCAACATGCAAACAAATTAATTTTCACAAATTAAGATTTTTGGTTTGTTACTTTTTGATCAAAATCAAAAGCACTAAACTATCTAATAATAAATTACCTTCAAGAAATGGACAAAACAATACCAAAGAAAATTAACACTCAAGCCAGTGTAAGTAGATGACTTTTCTCGAACTTAGATAGTCTCCCTTGTATCACATTCGAATTGCAAGTTTGAAGCTACAAAAAGAAATTTTATTAATGCCAAAAGCTTTTCCATTTCAATAAAGGCTATTGCAAGTTCTCCTCCCAACCTTCTCCGTCGATACTCTTACAACAAAATTTTATTTGCCCACTTGATTTCTTTTCTCCAAACCTTTTTCGGCATTCACACGACATAGTTTGTCATTTAAAGAAGTTATCAATATCTAGTAGCCCATCAGTAAAAGCTTCATGATCAATTTTACTATCATAGCTAAAACACTTCAATTTTAACTGCTTCGGTTTTGAAATTGTTATTAGCCTCTTAATGAAGGAATTTTTCATGGCATAAAAATCATACCTCATCTTGAATGTTTTAAGTGCAGCTTCATATTAGCTTGCATTTATGGATCGTGCTAAACTCTATTCTCTTGGTGCAGGTTCCCTTTCTGTTTGGCCTCACAGCTGTTGAAAAAGTTGCTGCTCTAATTATTCACTTGATATTTAGAAGAACTGGTAGGCATCTGTTTCTCACAGATAATGATGCCCAGAAACCTCCACTTCTACAGCGCATGGTGGAGGATTGTGACCTCCAGTTCATGTTTGTAAAGTTTCTCTGTTTTATCTCCTGCATGTTTATAGGCTTTTTATGCAGACTAACCTGTTGATGCTGAACTGTTATAGGTCTGCGTTGGAAGCATTTGAGCGCCGTGTTGCTTATTCAAATGTTGGAAATGATCGTATCCTTGAGAGTGCTAGGCTTTGACTCTACTTTTATTCTGTATATTAATTCTCTTTTCGTTTTTTTTTCTTTAAATGAAGGGCTATCTGATAGTATAACATTTCCTTCAAATTAGTAAGCTATTTTTTAGAGTAAAGCGCCAAAATATGTGACTAATTGTTTAATGAGGTCATTTTAGTCCCAGATTATAAAAGTGTCTAATTAGCTTCGATGCTTTAGAAATTTGAGTTGAAATAATCCTCTAGGAGAACTATTTCAGCCCATATTAAATATGATTATGAAGATTAAATTGGCACTTGTATAGACTAGGGGACTAAAATAACTCGAGGATTATTTTGACATATTTCCCTACTTTTCGTAATTTGATTAGCTGGATCTCCTTCTATATAAGCATGTGCCATCCTAAAAGAAAATTAGATTGAGTGATATTTGCGGAATATCTTAGTAAAGCGAACCTATTAGGTTTACCATTAATTTTGATTTTTACATAAGTGGTCAGTCACAAGTTGAAGACTGCAACTAACTATAAATTGAACTGTTCAAAAAATGTATAAATTAGTATCTGAAAAGCTTAGAAAGATTACAAAAAGTGTTTGCTAGGTGGCACGTGATTGTGTAACCCTAATTTTAATTGCTTCAACAATGTGACATGTTTTCTAAAACTAATAATAAATCAGATATTGTTGGCTGGAGAACTTCATCAATCAGACGCAATTCTGAATTACCGAAGGTAATAATTTTCTTAGTTATTCATCAGATTTTTAGTCTTTTCATCTTAGTGTTCATTTAATTATTTTAGTGGCTGTTAAGTTAGTCTTTGCTAATATTTGAAAATTTTTATTTCTTTTTGCTTCTTCAGTGGGATAAATCTTTAAACGAGAAGTATCCACACATTGTCTATCAAGAATATACAGAAGGAAGCACTTCTGAAAACCGTCCACTCGATAACACTGACCTCAATAGCAATGATGTGCTTGAGGGTAAATTTTGTATTTGTTTTTAGCTTATTTGAACGATCTTTATATCGTTATTTATCTATGACTGGTGCAGCTTACATTCATGATGTAAAATTTTAGAATTAAGGGTGTTCTTTTCGCATTTTACGTCAAAATTTGAAAATGAATCTCAGCATAGCATGTTTTTTCAATGAGTGGATTCTTATTTGGTGATTTAGCTATTGGAGGTTTTTATATATAACACTTTTGATTATTACGTATTATATTGGGTCTTATTAGAAAAAAAAAAAGAGTAGCAAGCATAATTAGTATTGTACCTGTATTACAAATGTGTATTACCTTTATGAAGTAGACTGATTTTCCCCTGCAACGGTAACAACTTTACCAAACAACATATCAAATAATTTCTACTTTGTCAAGTGTTTTGAAGTACTCCATGTTCTCTCTTCCACTCTCTCAACGACCCTCTAAGAAAATAGAAAATAAAACTCAAAATTTATGAATTTATATATTGTTGAATCCCGGTGTCCGTTGGCTCATTCAATCTAGGCAAGACTTTTAGACGAAGCAAAGAAGAATGGAATGCACACTCCTTTAATAAAGAAGAAGGAAAAAGGATGAGGCCTCGAGAATAGGAGTTCATTTCTATTTATAGGGCTTTAGATTGTCTCTCTCTTGTTAGGTTACAAAGAGACTACAATGTGATGTCTGTTGATTGGTCCTAATGACATCAGACTAATACGCCACGAAAAATGGATTGGTCCTCTGTTGAATGTGATCGGGCGCATACTACTTCCTCTCTCATTCGTGCAGCTGGTACATGAAGAAATGGACTGCCAAGGCCCCTTAGGGCTGTTAGCATCTTCCCTGGCCCGCAATGACTATTTCTTTGGATACATGCATATATAAATGTCAAATAAGAAGTTGGCATTTGAAGTTAGATAACCTCTTTTGGAAATATATTTTCTTTCACACAATTTACAGATCAAACTGGCTGTTCTTTATGTCCTCATATTTCCAGTCTGATTGTTTGCAGAAACCTTACAAGCAAATCGAATATTCAATTTGTATTTTTTCTCCTTTTTGCAGAGAAATTGGTTGTTGGTCTAACTCGTTTGTCATGGGAAAGGGTGGATGTAAGCTTTCACAGCAGCAAGCAGAGGTTTGCTGCACATAGCGTAATTCAGGTATCCCTCCCACAGCCGTCTATTAAAGGCTTTATTGATATGGGGACATTTACATACATACATACCACACAATTCTTATGAATTTACATAGCTAACATCTAAACTTGGTTTCATTTGAGTGAGCTTTATGGTGATTTTGTTGTTTCGTAAAGTTAAAAAAAAAAAAAAAATTTGTTCGGGTATACTGCTTTTCTAAAAAGTTTTTTCGCAAAACACTTCTTTTACTCGTGTTGGATTTCACTTTCTGCTTGGCTTTAGAACACTGCTTTAATAAAGCAGTTTTTAAACAAAATTTTAGAAAAGTAAAAGCGTAACCAAACTAGCCCTTTGATTTTTACATTTATAACACTTATCACATGCAGAATATCACCATTACTAACTTTTTAAAAGTGAGATATATCTTTCCATACATAGGTAAAATGGCATTATGTAAATATCAAAGTTTAGGTGTTTGATATGTTGGAGGCATGTATATAAATCTGTGTTATTTGATATCATAAGAATGGTTGATTTATTGATGTTTACCTCTTATAATCTTTCTAACTTTGAGCAGGTGAAAGATGCCTTGATGCACTCAGAAGGTGCTGATGTTATACAGCATATGATTGATCATTTCCTTATTTGAGGTCAGAATCTGCTCTTTATTTCGGGTTCTGATATTTGAAGAATTTATACTGCCTAATAGCATCTCCAACGTCTTAACAGTATACTCCGTCAGGGCCTTGGGGGGGTAGGGTTAGTTCTCTATTCGTCGGTAGTCCTGCTAATTTATTTATTTATTTTTTCTTATTATTATTAGTCTTTTAAAATATTTCAACCTTTGTGCATGCCCACAAGCAAATGAACATCTTATTGTATTGGATTAAAGAGTCAAAACCTTATTGATTAGAGTTACGAATTATTGGAGGCTATGTAATAAAACTAATTGTAATGAAGAAATCATATTGCGCATGAGCGTGTGCGTTTAAATGATGTTTATGTACTTATACATTTGAAATTTTAGTCTATGCCCATAGTTTTAGTCTTTGCCCATAGATTTATAAAATTATATACTAATAATTTTATATATAATTTAATTACTCAATTAAATTTTTAATATGTTTGTTAATTTATATAAACAATTACCTACAAATTAAATATCTAAATTTATATGAAAACTATTTACTGCTTGACTGTTTTAGTATTTAAAATTAATATAATCAAGTTAAATATAAATTAAATATGAACATTAAAGAATTTAAATATGTATATAAAAATGAGTTTGGCTCAATCTCAAATGGAATATGAATAACTTATGATTTGAGTAAGACACATCATAATCCATGACATCTTCCGCTCGTCTCATCTTGTTTACGGTAGCGGCACTGTCATCAGGAATGATAATGTTCATCATCTAATGCCCTTATGGGTTTGATTGCTTTTCTAATTACTTGAGTTATTTGCTGAAAGATGACTAGTTGCGCAAGGTGGGAATGAGGTGAGGTGTGGTCTCTCAAGGCAAACAATTATATTAATTAATTTTCAAAATTTAAAGCTATATTAGGTTTTTTGTTTTTTTTTTAATAATTACCTAAAAACAAGAGAATAAGGAGGAAAAGCTATTTTTTTTAATTTATTTTTATTGTGTTGTAAATGATAGTCAAAAGCATGAGAATAGGGATGGTTTATGGCCAGTGAATACCATTTTAGGAAGATAATCAAATAAGCCAAATCATGACTTCACAAATAATAACAAATTAAATCTCATTAAATGTAGAATTTGGGCACTAATGTAAAAAAAGTAATGATAATAAAATAAAATCATAAAAAAAAGATAATTTAATCATTTTCCTCCCGAATAAAACTATTAAAAGAAAAGTAAAAGGAGTTTGAATACTACCTGTGCCAATAATACAAATACAAATTTACATACATACACAAGCCAATAAATTGTGCTCTTACTACATTGCACAACATAAATTTAGATAAAAAAGGAAAAATAATTCGTTCTACGTATCGATAAATGTAGAAATAACAGGCAAATTGTCCCGGGCTGATTCAAACCAGATGGATGATGTAAGAGGCTTGGGAGAAGAATTATCTATTAGGTAGGGCACCATGTATTTCTTCATATCGTTCCGTACAATTCCTAGATGACTTCCAGGTACACTGACAAACTTAACTCTACCAGCTTCATCCAAAGCTCTCAAACCAATCCAGTCCTCTATGTAAAGCGTGGTCTACAGTGTCATATGAAACATTTCTATTTTAAAAAAATTTACGTATATATCAGATAATTCATTTAGATGCACAACACTTCAGTGCCGCAATCCATCAAAACTGATGCATGAAATATATATTTCACTGCAAAAATGGAAGAAATAATGATGGCATTGTTTGATGTCATGTTAAAATTTAGGTGTTAGATATGTAAGTTACATATATATATAACATTTTAGTAACCTATGCATAAAAAAGTATAATTCATTATAAAAAACATTATGATTGTGGCTTTTTAAAATTATGTTAAAAGAATTTAGTCTTATCATTGTAAACATTAAAGTTTAGGTGTTAGATAAGTCAATACATAAGAATAGTGTGGTATGTAAAGATAAATAAAATGTTTAGCGTGAAATTGCAGTTATACCTCTTGTGGCGATAGAACTGGACTGAAGGCACCATTGGGGTAATAGCCAAACCAAGATGTCTCTCTAGGAATCAGAACATTGTCTTGCTCACTCTGACAAGAAAAAATTATGAGCAAAATAGCAAAAGTCTATATGAACAAAAACTTAGCAGCAGAGTAAATAGAAGGAATATGCAATAAATACCATTATGAGAACTAAAGTCTTCAATCTACTGAATCTTTCTTTATAAGTGGCATTCCTCTCATCTGGTTTTTCGTTGTTGAGCTTTGGAAGGAAGCGGCATTTTTCCAGATAATCAGATATATCCTGAAGATAACAAAAATGGATCAGATTTCAAGCTGCAACAGAGTTTTTACAGAGAACAGGACATCTTGGGAGAATAAGAAGGGATATCAATAACTGAACAATGACAATCTCTGAAAAATATTTTCATTGCTTGTTTTAGGAAACCAATATTAAATTTAAAAAATTGCAAACATGCCACACAATTCTTATGTATTTACATATGTAACACCTAAAGTTTGATATTTACACTTGAAACATCTTGGAGTCATAAACCTATGCATAAAAGGTGTATTTCATTTTTAAAAGAGAGTAATGGTGGTATTTTTTATGTGATATTAAAGATTTCAGTGGTGCATGAAAATTTGAATGTTTAAACTCAAAAGAATTATGTGGTATGTAGGTAAATGCCCCTATTAAATTCTATAGAAAAATACTATTTGGGGTTAGTTTGCTTGAGTGCTACAGGTATATGTAACAGCCCAAAACTATGATTGATATAGAGAACTAGTTTTCTCGATATAAAAAAAAACAATCTGTTGTGTCTCAGTTGAGGGATGGTCATCACAAAACAACATCTCTGAAGGAGGTTGGGAGTTTGAATCAGAAGCATGATTGTGCTTGATAAGTGCCTGGTGAGTTGAACCGATAATGAGTCAAGTTTGAACCAAACCCTACTTAACTCATTAGTTTGCAACCCCCTGATTTAAAAACTTTAATATTAAATACACTTAAAATACATTAAAACTCAAGTTTTTATGCATAAAATTATTAAAAATAAATAAATAAATTATATATCTTTATTTTATCACAAATAATATTCAAAAGCCCCAAAAAAAGTAATGCTTACTGTAGGAATTTTGAGATAACCACTTGGAGCAAGGTGTTCCTGCATTTCAAAAGTTCAAAATTAAGAATAACCAACACATATGGAATGCCTAGAAAAATCATCATGAGAAAAATTACATATAAATTTTCAGTGATCAAACTGTGTTTATAGCAGGCTAGAAAAATTGCAAGAGACAAACCTGCAAATAATCAGAGTATATCTTTGTCTTAATGAGTTCATCCGCAATTATGCAGAAAATTCCTGACTGCAAATGAGAAACATTGCTAAATTAATTTTACATTTTGTAGAAAATTATAGAAAGGCAAACACATCTACAATTTTACATATATATATATATCACTTGGAGCAAAAAGAGTAATTACCCCACAAAGTGGCACAGAAGCAGTACCAGCATGAGGGCCGCCCAGCGAGACGAAATTGTTAACCTGTTAAGACGTGTCATATTTCCAAACGAATGATATGATTAATCAAATGTTGACATTATTAAATAAAAATAGGGGAAAAACAGATAAAAAGAAGAAAACAAACAAATCGTATACCATGCATCGAACTTAATACCAAAATAAACCAAGATTTAAAAAAGCCAGAAATTCTACTCCATGCATCGAACTTAATACCAATATGTTTGAATTGCAACATTAAAAATAGTAAAAAAGGAATAGCTTGTTATGCGGACATCCATTAGAGTAAGACCAATGTTATTTCCATGATATTGTGCAGACTCCACTTCAAACATAAAAGGTTCTCTGAAATTGAGAAAGAAAAACTTTCCACAATGGTTTGTTTATCAATCAAAAGGAAAAAGACCCCATGTCGTGAGATAAAACATGGCCTCCAAATTTCCTACTTTCCACAGTAAAACACACGTTTTGAGGCTAAATATTATGCCATCTTTAAAGTTAATAAATCAAATAACACAAAACTCTCTCCATTGTCATGGAATAGATATATGCAGCTTATAAATAACTAATCAAATTGGCAATATTTTTCTCTATTGAAGCATGTGATTCCATATTATAATATCATTGTTGCATGGTTGCAATTTGCACAATCACTTAATTTTCATTAGTTGCCCCTTTACACGAATAAAAATGATCATCTAGTAAAAAGAAATAATTTAAAAAAAAAAAGTCATGGACACAGCATGACATGTCCAGTTTAGAATTTCTTACAGGCGGTGCGCCTTCACAAAACTCAACTATCCCCCGACCGATCAAGTTTCCCTGAAGGAAGATATAGAGGAAACTTTCATTAGCACCCTCAATGTATGTCAGCATCCAAAAAAAAAGTAAAAACTATGAGAAGAACAAAAGAATATTTACTTTAGAGGCTCCAGGTTAATTCCATCGGAAACAAAAAAAAATGTACAGTTGTATAAAGGCAAGTAAAGAACACACTTGTCAGAAGAAATCAAATAAGAGGTAGATTACATTATTGAAAATCAAATAAATATCAAGTGCAGTGGCAAAAATGACTCCGTTCTTGGCGTAGGAGCAGGAATTGTATTTCATTTTTTAAAAGTTAAAAAAATGATTTTCGATGTGATGTGATTGAGTTGGGTGGTATAAATGTAAAACCAAAGTGTAGGTGTTAGACATGTAAATACAATAAGAACTGGGCAGTATATATGTAAACGCCCCAAAAAAATTTATAAAATTACTAATAATAACTTAATAAACTCCAGCATCCTTAAGCAAAAATACACAAGCAAATCAAATATCAACTACAGATGAAAATTATCACAACAAAAAGTTAAAACTATCACCTGTGAAAGGCCAACGATGTTGAAACCCCCACTTAATTCTTTCATTTCCTTGACCTGCCGACCAAAGCAATGCAATTGCGCATGTTATGAAAAAACTCGGAGCATGATATGGAGGTAAAGTGTGTTGTTCCATATATTTTGGTTACCCTCTCGCATGCAACCTGTGTCTGTAAACATACAAGATAGCAATTCTATAAGCCTATAACTAAGAGCCAAACAAAAGTTATTAGAGCAATATCACCAGTTCACCACACTGTTTTCCAGAAACTCAACCTGTTGATCAAGTGGCATTAACCAGGAGTCCCATGAACCATTCCCAATTTCCCTGCGAAATGATCAAGAATTTGAAACATCAGCTCTATGCAGCGCTAATCAATGTCAATGAGTACGAAACACAAACTCGATCAATTAACTGACACAATGACCCATTCCAATTCTAATGGAGTTCTTATTCAATAAAATAGAAAGTGGAACACCCATATCTAAATTTGTTGAAGTTTCACCGACTTCTTTCACTTGATCACACGGCAGACCGAAAAAATATGCTACAGTGATTATATCTTTTTGATGCCTTGCAGACTGCTCCAGCAAATTAAAATTCAAATAAAATGCCCTAACAATTCATAAAACAAGAACGAAATCCCACATTTCTAACCTGACAACTGTGGCTATAAAAATTAAAAAATCTCAGAAAACTAGAGCATACATCTTTCATTCCAAATAAACGCCCAACCAGGTTAGCAATACAAAAAATGAAGAGAAGACGACAAAGATATACTCACAGGCAGTAACCTTGAGAACCAGACCACTCACTTAGCAGCTCGGTAAACCGCTTAACACCCCGATTACGGCATGCATCACCAATTCCTGCTCAAAGAATCAACTAGTAAAACCCTAAACAATCAGACACGGTGGCCAATCAAACTCGACAAAGGAATCAGAAACGAACCGTGCAAGAGGATGAACGGTATAGAGGACGAGGTTGGAAGAGAGACGGAGATGATCGCGAGAATGAAGACGATCTTCAACAACAAAGCTTCCATTTCCACAGTCTTCTCCAATAAAACTGCCGCGTTCCCTACAGGAAATCTAGGGTTTTAGGCTCCTGTAAGAGGTTTTTCTCCGAGGAAAGAGGAATGGTGCACGGGACAGGAATCAGTTCCTTTCACGATAGAAATTTCCCGTTGCGTTTAGGAGGGAAACATCGTGGGACACCACGCCCCAATTTTCAGTTATTACTCAAAATAAAAAAAAATTAAAAATTAAAAAAAAAAGTGCAAAATAAATTAATGAGTTGCACCAAGATTCAAATCTGGTTTTAGAAAATTAATTTTTTTTTATAAATAAAATTATTAATTTTATTTTTTTTTATAAATGTGGGACTAAAGGTCACGGGTGAAATTAGAGCTTCAATTATTATGACATGACATGAGTGGGCATGTAAAAATGATCAAATATTACATACTATTATTTGGAATTAATATAGTTGGTGGCAAAACAATTGCATGTTATTATTTTTCCTGTTAAGTTTAAATATGGATCCATTAAGTTTTACTCAATTTTGAAATATATATTATTTTTTATTTAAATTTGATTGTGAAATATATATTTAGATATTTTTTTATGATTGTATTTATCTTATTTGTGATTTTTTATTCTGTCCAAATATTGGTAATAACTGCATGTATTTTTTCATATTTATTTTTATAGGTATTCATGTATTTTATCATAGTAAATGAGCAAACATCCTAAATTTGAAGTCAATATCTGATTTAAATTGACCAAATTTGATTCTATTTAGTCTTAAATTAACATGAGTGGGTATAGATAGTGGAGTCAAATCTGATATTAATTTGTTTTATTATAATAGACTCTAGTCTGACTTGTGTTGCACCCTTAAAGATTATAGATCATTAAATTTTATATTTGTTTTAAAATAAAATAATCATTTCATATTTTAATATATGTAGAATAAATTTTGAATTTTTTTTATTTTAGTTGATTAATTCAATATTTAAATCAAAATTATGGATTGAAATTAAATTAAAACACTCACTTTCAGATGTGTGTTTAATGAAGTGTGTGCCTTTGAAGTTTTGTGTTTGAGACTCAGGGTTTGTTTGAGGTAGCTGCAGCTTAATAATAAGTCACTACGTAGTAGTTGTCATAACAAAAGCTGCTGTGGATAAGCTGATTGTGTGTTTTTTTTTACAGTTTGAAAATAATTGTGTTGCATTTGCTTTTTGGATAAATAATCATTCGTCCTTTGTATAGTAATGATGTTTGCAACAAAACTGTTCATACCAATAAATTCTATATTTTAAATACAAATATTCAATACATAACATTACAAAATAAAGATAAACAGGTTAATCAATAGTGGGTGGCACGACAACTAAAATTTAAAAAATTATATATTAAAACAATAATTAATAATATGATAATATTATTTTTAAAATGCAGACGACGTATGTCACGAGTTAAATCATTTTTCAGGAATACTCTTTATGCTCGGTCACTTTTGACAGTAGAACTAGATAGCATGCCCTCAGACATAACATGAGTAAAACTTGATAACATAAATAATTAATTATAGTTTTATGCACTTGTGAGATCTCAGAGAACTTAGTATACAAACCAACAAATTTGACACTACAAGAAGATGTCAAGCATTGTAAAAAAAAGGGTTTTTGGTTATCTTTAATCAACGTAATACCAAGCTCATATGTGTCACAAATGCATATCACTAGAAAAAGATCATCTAGAAGAACATAAAAAATTGTAGCACCGAAAAAAAAGAAACTTGGTTAACTTCATTAGAATTTCACATATGACACCAACCAATAGTAATATACATGTCATGCAAAAGAATTAATAAGGTCGAATGTCTCATCCTAGGGCTTCAAACCCACTAAAAGAAAAAAATAGAAATGCAAAATAAAAAAATAGAGACAAACTATGTAAAAAACCAAAACAGTAAATATCAAATGCAAAATAAACATAAATTGTATAAAATATTGATATAATGAATCGTGAATGTCTTGAATAACTATTATAATTAATAATATGATTAAAACTAATATTCCCATCAACTACCCTCCAACTATCACATATGTAATTTGTTCCCTCAACCCTATTATCTCTCTTGCTCTTTCTCCATTTTTAGTGCGGGTACCAAGAATATCATTTTTAGTCTGTGATAAGGATTGTTCAAGACGGTACTCACATGCCTTAGAGAGACATGTTCATGATTCTTGTCCGCCAAGAGGAAGTTGCTTTCATTAGTGAAAAGATGTCGTTGAATATAATTGTGAGAAGCCATTGCGACAACTATATCTATTTAGGAAATGGGTAAGATGACATATTGCAAAGTATAACTCATTTCTCCTTATAAATACCAAAAAGTCATCTAAATGACACTGTACAAGGACGAATGTCTTTTATATAATAAATAATATATCATATATAATACAAGCTATTTTAAAACTTAATATCAAGTATTTAACAAGTGACAAATGACTTGGTTCGGAACATAAATGGACAAGTTCGAATATGTTCATGTTTAGTTTATTTAAACTTTGAGCTTTTAAAAATTATTCAAGCTTATTTATTTATTTATTTGAATGAATATGATCAAGTCTTAATGAAGCCGAGTTCGAGTAATTCATCAAATGCATTGGCTCATTTATAACCCTAAGAAGATGTAGCTTGTTTTTTTGAAGTTGGGTCACTTTAGTTTTGGATGCATGCCAAATAAATCTTAATTCGGACTCAAATAAATCAGTTGTTTTTATTGAATTAAATAATGAGTTATTCATCATTTTTGTTGATAAATAAGATAGTGTTATTCAATAATTTCTTTTAGATAGTATAGTCTTGCTCCGCGCTGAATATAATAACATAAAAATTATATATGTAGGGGTATAAAACAGTCAAAACATTACCGAGCCCATATTTTGTTCATATTTGAACATGTTCAAATTAGCTCATAATCGGCTTTATCTTGAACTTTTTAATTTTATATATTTAATTTATTTCAATTTATTTCGATAGGAATAAACTTTTTATTCTAAAATATTTTCAAAAAATTGAAAATTTGAATTACTTTCTGCTGCACACTACAGAAAAAGTATTCAAATCCGGCGTAAAATTGACGGTTTTTCATTCATCGGAACGGTTTTCTAAAGAGTACACTAACTTACGGATTTCATGCAGAATAAACCATTGGTATTTGGCAAGAACCAATTTCGACATACTATAAAAATCAACCGATCAATTTATCCATCGATTCTTGTCATATGATAAACCGAAAGGCTATTTGGTCCGAAAAAATTACACGCCGTTTTTCTCATCTTAAAAATTTGACGACCCTTTGATATTATCCGATAGTCTGCATGTCGATTACTAAGCTATTAGTAATCGTCCGTTAGGTTTTGTTGGAAAGCCATCAGAAACGACCTATTTTATCGGACTGACCAGCTTTTTCCTTTCAGATCGCTCGCTCCTCGACCTTAACGCCAAAACCTCTTGTATTTTCAGTATTGTTAACCATTTTGCACGTTTTTTTATTTAAATCAAATGTGAGTTCCATTCACACTTCCCTTTAGATTTTCATTCAATTCATACTATTACTTTTTGTGCATTTGGAGTTTTTGTGTTTTAGGAAAAGATGAAATTTTGCGCGCCCGTAACCGCTAGTCTGAACTCCTCGACTTCGAACCTTCTCCCATGCATTGATACAATCGAAATCATTTATCCGTTAATTATTTTTGGCTTTGCTTTCTAAACATAAGAAAAATTGATTCTTTGGTTTTATTCATAATTTTTGCTTTTATGTGACATTTTTTAGGGGGTAATGGGAATTTATTGTCAACGCCTAACTAAAAGTTTGATTATATTTTCTTTTATTTTTGGATAATTTATGGTTATGATTTTGCAATAGTGGATGGTTGGATTTTCTTTGATTGGGAATATAATGATTTCAAAATCATATGTTAAGGGATGTCTAGCAATAGATTTAAGGTAGGATTTAGGCAGGGTTGAATTGAAATTTTGTTAGACGGTCATTTTGCACGAAATAAATCATTCAATTCGGTAAATTTGGATTTCACGGATTTCAGATTTCCAATGTAAATCTTAGATTTATTAAATCCCACAACTCAGTAAATTTAAGTTTGTGCGCTTCGAATTTAAGGCACAGATCGGTAGCTGCCACGACGTAGCTCAGTAACTGTCAAATTATTTCACTGGATTTACATAATTTACTAAATCCATTGCCAGATAGTTTCCGGATTTAACCTATCCAGAATTTAGTAAATACAAATTTTTGACATTTACTAAATCCTAATAACTTAAATCTCTTATGTTGTCGGACAACACTTCAGAAATGTTAGCAAATAAATATATATAAATGTTTTATATCATCATTTATGTAGATCAAAAGTTAAAAATTTCTTATGTATATGAGAAGCATATATGTATATCACAAGTTAAGATTTTTTACATGGGATGTGAATCAATTTTGTGTGCTCTTGTTATTGTGTTATTTGATGCATAGGTTTTCTTAAATTGATTTGGGCATTAGTTTCTTAATCAAATGATGTAAATTTATAATAAATGATGACTTTGGTAAACAATTGTTCTGTACTTACCCTTAACTTCTTAAGCTTTCCCATCTTATTTTCCCTCGTTCATCATTTAGGTGAGGAGAGAAAAAGAGAAAATTTGACAAAGGATAGAAAGCTGTGATTTTAAAGTTCTAGAGGTTCTTTAAATAATTAGAACTAGTTGGAAAATTTGCTCTCCAACATCAAATTACAATGAGTAGGATATATTACATTATTACTCACACCCTCCATTGAATGTTTGTCTATATTCTTAACAATTATCTACTAACAAATTTCTATTAAGTGGTTACCTATGCATATGGAGGTAGATTTTGCCATTCACTCTTATAATGATATAATTATGCATGACCATATGTTAGTAGACTACATAATGTTGGAGAGTAAATTAGGCATGATGCATATAAGCTAGTCTAAAGTTTAAAGAAGTAAAAAGTTGTGGGAGTAAAATTAAATCTTTGGTGTAAGCTTTTCACAAAATGATCTTTTATATTATACTTATCGGAGAAGCCCGAAATTTTGACTTACAATTTCTTAAATTTGCTTTGAGATT